TCATTTATGGTCTAGAAAACTTACTTTTTAAACGAAAAATGCGATTCATACAAGTGTTTGAAGTCGCTTTCGGAATTTGATCGAGTTCTCAGAGACTTAATTGGACGCACCTTGTCAGAAATCTTCTGCTATAAGTCGTCATAATCCCCAGTGTTTGACAGTGGACTTAATACAATACTAAACGTTTCGCCGGCATCGTCAGTGAAGCTTGCCAGTCCCAGAAACAAGCTACAGTGGGAAGTGAAGTCAATCCTTTGACCAACTTTCTGCTAGGGTAAGAGTGATAGCACAATCATTCAGCAGAAAGTTGGTCAACAGATTGACTTGACTTGTCCCTTTGACGAGTTGTAGCTTGGTGCTGAAAATGGCAAGACTCAAAGGCGATGCCGGCGAAACGTCTGAGAATGCACTAAGTCGATGGTCCGACGCTTGGAATTATAAGTACTATAGTAAAAGATTTCGAACAGGCTACGTCCAACTAAGTTACCCTGACAACACGACCAAGTTGCAAAAACGAGGTCAGACCATTTCTATGCATCGAAAGGAGACTGCACCCATAATAGAGACCATAACATCTTGGTTTTCATATCTAAAAAAAATAGAATAGTATATCGGTGCCGAATCCCCCACAAAATCAAGTTAAGAAAGGTTTCCTCTGCATTGAAAGGTATGCTCACTCTATAATGAGGTCGTGTGGCTCAAGAAGCAACGTATTTGTCGCTTAACCCTCAAGTTCATGGTTAAAATCTTGGTGATAGTGCAAATAAGATTAAGATAAGATCGAAGCTGGAGTATAGATCTTGACCTGTTACCTTGAATATGCTTATAAGAATAATACCCTGTTATAGTTATATCAATTATATGACGGACGAAAGCTTAGCACGTTTTCACTGGAATTATAGGAGATTGGCTTAGAAATAGAATCAACAAGAACGTTCCAGTAGAGTAAATTTACAGTTAGTTAAGAGAAATGCACCGTCGTCTTCTAGTGGGATCGACTTATGAATCTATTCACCAAACACTTTAACTAGAAATAGAGGTGAACTCAACAATTAATGAGATCAGCCCAGAAAATAACCGGTCCAGATTGGTAAACCTAGATATTTCATATGAATACTTCTTTATAACACATTTTCTGAAATTGTGAATAGTTTCCAAGCCAAAATTCGAATAAAGTTAACTTAAGAGAAGTAATAATCGGGGTTACTGTTTACGTTTTCGATGTGCCTTTTTGAAAAAAAAGATTGAGGCAAGAAAGGTGGTGGATTATCACTAATGCAAGTCTAAGGTGCGACCAATGGTTACTATTCATTGGTTATAGGAGTGCACAGAGATGATAAATCATTATTAAACCATTAAAACATGAGTAAGATTAAAAAAGACATCTGAAAAATCTTATTTCGTTCGATAGAAAAGCATTAAATTAAGTCGAAAAACAATAATAAAAAGCAAAATAAATAAAAAAACCGAGTGCAACTAAAAGCATTTTAAAGTTCTCATTCTCCTAACTCATTAACAAGATGATATAAATTATCTTAAAAACTTATTTAACTTCCTCTACCCTCACCAGGATTTAGCAGCACAATCACACGGATGCAGCCAATCTCAGTGGCGTCCACGCGAAGATCGTACAATTTGGTGGCTACATCTGTCATAAATTGATCAAAAGCAGCCTGTAATGCTGTCCACTTGTCCGACTCAATGGTGCCTGAGGCCTCATATCGTGAACTGGCTATCGCCGATCCCGCCAAGGAGTTAGGCTGCCGTTGAGGCTGTTCCAGTTGGACTGCGGGTCTTCTGTCACAAGATGAGGCAGTACAAAGCGGTCCTCGAGGCGAGGACTGGCCAGAAAGAGGTTCGCAAGGAGCAACTGACCGGCTGACTAGACTGGATTGTTGATGATGTTGCTGAATAAGTCGCATCAACGGACAGGGCTGGAAGAGATCGACTGATGAAGAGGGCGGATTTTTAAGAGAAGGGCTGGATCCCTCAGAGCAGGTGGACTCAGAGGGCAGAGAAGTGACTCCAGAAGTATAAGATGATTGGCCACTCGGCAAACAGCTGCCACTACTGGTAGTGGTTGTGGTGGAAACAACAACATCGGACTGAAATCTTGGCCAATTAAACTTACTGCCTAGCTGAGGATGAGCAGTCGAACCTACGGGAAGAGGAAACTCAGCTTCACCAGGCTCCCCGCCACTCAGAAGACATGCCATTAAACGCTGAGGAGTTACTTGGTCATCGAAATTTTGGCGACTTTCACTAGCCTCCAGCTGTTGCCTGTATGGAAAATGGTGTTGATCTCTGTTGGCAGCAGGCGGAGATCGGGATCGTGATCTGGAGAGGGATCTTGAAGGCGAAAAAGTGGATCGGTCAGCCAAAGCATCTCCGGAACCGCACTCTGGGGTCCGTTTCGCTAGCTTCATGGAAACCTCGTCTGATTTCCTCTTCTCTGACCAACAGGCATGCTTGCTTTCCCCAACCATATTTGAAATGGTCATTTTGTTCTCATTTTCCCCACCACCCACACGGCATTCCAGTTCCGGCTTCAAAGTTGACTTGGAAGTTAAGGATGAAAGTATGTTGACCGTTTTACCATCTTGTCGTAGATGAGGCAGTGGTCGCTTTAGTCGTAAATGTAGTCGACGATTATGACGCAGCAAAGCGACCAAATCAGCCTCATCAACAGCCAAAAGGGAAAGCAGCAATCGGCGCTCTGGCGCATTTGTCGCCATACCGATTTCAGAGCCGAGCAGGCTGAAATAGCCAGGTCGCACAATATTCGATACAGCAGAACTAGAAGCTGTCAGAGAGCCAGGCTCAGAGGTGTCAAGTGACAAACGATAGGCCAATTGAGCCAGAAGAAGCTCGATCCAACCTGTAGAGGTTAAGCAGAAGGCATAAATAACAATGGTAACTAATGAAAATGACAATTCCGGTGAGCATCACCCCTATTTAGAAAAACGATGCATGATGCTTGCCAAATTGTCTGGACTGGAAAACGTCCTTAAGTGTTTTTCAGACAAAGGCATAGGTATTATGATTGCTATTCTTAATACCAAAGCGTAGGATTCTGAAGAAATTTATCAACTGAGAGAGTCATGATCAACTCTTTAAGGCGGCTCTGGTTTGGTCTGTATGGGAGCCACAGCAGACTTGGAAGTACTTGGATGGAATGTCACCTATCAAGTTAAATGAATAATCTCCAAGGCTAAAAACAATTTCTAGGCCTTGGCAGCATAGTACCATGTCTTTTAAATAAAATTCATCTAAGAAAAAGTGGTGCCCTCGTGAGTAAGCACTGATGGCATCAAAAAATTAGGTAAAATATGAAGGCCTCTAATTCAGTCTGGTCAATGTACCATTGCTCATCTTTCCAGTGTTCGATGTATGTCTCAGAGACCGACCATTTTCTCTTTTGTATGTGAGTGCATTGACCCCATAAAGAACTAGCTATAATGCTAAAGAGAAGTATGGAAAAAAATAGAAGAGATGTGTTCACCCTCTTTCGTTTAAGATGATAAAGGACTTGTAGTTAAATTTTACAGCGATGATGAGTAAACCCTATGCTTCCTTTTAATTTCACATAGCCTTGATTCCCAGAAGGTATTGCCATCCAGGGTTGACTGCTTCATCGACGATCCAACCACAGAATGTGATATGGGAAAATGCCTGGCCTTCCTTGTAATTCGCATCCGCTCTGTGACCCAAAGACCCTCGTGGCATTGTGAGATAGTGGTTAACGTGTCGAGATTATATTCTACACCGCCATGGTTGGAGTACCTCTGGGGATGGTGATCTGACAAGTTCAGGCGAGGTCGAAATTGCAGTCCACCCCGGATGAGAATGGCTTTTGGGAAGCAAAGATATGCGATATTCAATAAAAGAGTAAGTTTTACTCATATGATTGTATGAAAATCCAACTACCAGTCTTTCAAGCAAATAGGCTAAACATATCTCGTATATCTGATTTACTGGTAGTCTCGAAGACCAGCTGAAAACGCAAAAGATAAAAGTCTTTCCTAGTTAAAGTATCCAACGAAATATATGACCTCAGTTGGTTGTTATACTTGCAGGGTCAAATGAATGAACTCCAGCTGAAAGGTAGGATCTAATCAGAGGCTTGCATTGCCTGCAGTGGCTCGCTAAACAAGAAGTCTAAAGAAGTCCTTAACAGACAGTCGTAACTTCTAGAACACTCTTAAACTTAAAGAGAAAAGTATTAAACTCTTAAATATATGAACTCTGAGAAGCCGAACACAATGGCGCTAGTGACGTCCGCTCACCTGACTGAAGCAGAATAAGTTGATCATGGTTTGATAAGTCCGAGAACCATGGAAGTGCTCTAGCCCAGACGACCAACTCATGAAGAAGGCAGAGATAGTGCCGTTTTAGGTGACGGAAGGAAGAGGGCAGATTTGGCCCTGTTGAAAGAGTTGGCGTCTGCGGTAGAGTCTAGGAGGAGTAAGCAGATGACATTGATTTAAATAGAGGAAAAAAGGCAAATATATATACGATCACAGTGTAGAGACAATTGTAGTAGAATTAATAAAACATAGTAATTTAGCTAATATAAACTAGCGATTCTACCAGTTTAGGGCCACAAATATTGCCTTCACCAAAGCTTTAGGCGAGAATTACCTGAGCTTCGGATTTATAAGAGCCAGACTCATTACAAGAATGGGGCCGAAGTGAAGTATTCGCTCCAGATGAGGCTGTATTTGAGTCCTTGAAACCAGATTGAAACTGATTAAGACGAGGCGGCAAAGCAAGAGGTCTGGAGATCTGGGTCAGCCAGTGTAGTTCTGCATCCCGAATTCGCATTAATAATGCCATAAGACAATCAGGCTCCTCCTCCTCTTTCTCCTCACCTACCACGGGACTCGAAATAGGACAATTGAAAGAGGAAGAATATGCATATCTTGGACTGATGTTAGGCAATTGGTCCTGAGGCAAGCTCCAGTTAGGCTGATTAATCACTCGAGTAACTGGCATCATCTTTGTGGACTCAGAAATATTTGGTGTCCTGAGGGCCACAGTGATGCTGGTAGGGGTAGTTGATGACTGAGCGGAGATGTTCACAAAGGAAGCATTTGAAGATAATTGTGAAGCACAAGAAGACGACGAGGAAGAAGAAGAGGAACAATCTGAAGTTTTGTAGCAAGGCGTAATTCGTAGAATGTGAGGGACAGAATCTGAGACAGCCGCATCTGAAGACACTGAAGCCACAGAGGAGAGTGTAGTAGAAGCAGGGGAAGATATGGGAGTGAAACAAGTAGGAGCAATGGTGATGGGGGGTCCAGGAGTGGAGGATGAAAGTGCACTTCTGGACAAAATGCCGTTTGGTAGGCTAGGGCCGCCTACTGCGGCTGGATGGGGGAAGACGTTGGGCTGAGAGGTGGAGCGGGTTGGAGAGACACTAGAGCCTCCAGCCGACACAGACACGGGACTGGTAGAAGGAGCTGATGTAGAAGAGGAGGAAGAAGGAGAAGAGGAAGATGACGAGGTAGAAGAAGAACGTTCTATAGGCCCCCGGTTGACAATATGTCTAGGACCAATGAGCTTGGTTGTGTCGACCGAACTGCCGGTAGGAGCAGAAACAGAGGTGTTTAAGCTAGAGCTAGTTACGGCCGTCGAATTGGCCGAGGTGGCCAACTGGTGTTGGCGTTCCTCCTGGACGGCTGAAAGCAGGCGAAGAGGGACAAGAAAATTAATTAAAAAATAAACTAACATCCCCAAAAATGATATATCATATACCGAATAACTGGATCTTCGATATAATAAAAGTGGGTAAGAAATTATGAAATAAACACAATAATACTCATCGCAAGCATAAAAAATATATAGATGAAATCATAAATATAAAGACCAAGATGGTTTAGCCTTCTGCTTAGTCGCAGTCTACATTAGCTTAAGAGTGTTGGTTCAACCTTGTTTTCGCAACTTAGTTGGAGCATCAGGGAGACATTGTGGAAAGTGCCTAGTTTCGTGTGCTCTGATATAGTATTCGTGATTTCTAACATTCTACCATTGTCTTGGTACATTCCCAAACGTTTCGCCGGCATCGCCAGTGGGAGGTGTCATCATCAACACAGAGTTATAACTTATCAAAGTAAAATGTGAAGGCAATCCCATTGAGCAATTTTCTGTTCAATCGTTGCGGTATCACTCCTCACCTCTATTTTTGTTCTACTTTCTAGTGCCGCATCTTTCTCTCAACCCTACTTCATATGGCCTATCCACTTGTTCACACAATTCTGTACTCTCGTTTACTCCAATATTGCCTAAGAGTCTATCGCTACAAGTGGGTTTAGATAAGCGTAATCATCTCCACCAACAATATCAGATGCCGTTTGCAGGGCTCCTGACCCACATTCTGCCCCCACCTTTTTTCCTTACCCGCTTCCCTTGAATCGCCTAAAGCACGCTCCTCTCGTCCTTCAAGTTGCCACTCCAATCTAAGCCTAGAGTACTATGTTGTTCATGTATTTGCTGACTGGTATCCCCCGTGGTCAAGCATGTCACCAGTCACCTCCCCTTCAGACACAGACACGATCATTGAACACAAGCACCCACGCACACACACTTGTGACTTATATCTGACCCACCTATGCTGTTACCCTTTAATTTTATATGCTACGTATCACATGTCGGCCTCCCTGGGTATATTTTTTGCCAATTCTTGATGTGACTCCTCGCACTGCATTCGCCTTTTCTTAGCACCCCTTTGTTCATAATGAGCCACTCCTTGGTGATGTCTCTTCCTTTTGTCCTGAATCCAAGCGTCTTCTTTTTGATCAATTCGCTGAATCAGCAAGTCTGCCCAGGCAGCACACGAAATTATCACTAACTCTTCCTTCTTCCAATCTCCTGTTCATAAGGTTTCTTTGGAAGAAGATGTCCATAATCTCTCTGATCTTCCCTTTCGTGGTGTTTTCCTTATATGAGGCCAGTCTTACCGTTGCACTCCTTTCAGCTTTGTGGCCAGTAGTGGCGATGTGTTCGGCTATCTTCGATCTTTCCGCATTAATTACTGAAACTTATGAAGAGGAGATTGGAAGAAGGAAGAGTTAGTGATAATTTCGCGTACTGCCTGGGCAGACTTGGAGATCCAGCGAATACATTTTGATGTCTAGCAGCGGCCAATTAAAAAGCGAGTAAGGAAAAAAGGTGGGGGCAAAATGTGGGTCAGGAGTCCTGCAAACGAGATCTGGTACAGGTGATGGAAATGATTACACTTATCTAAACCCACTTGTAGCGACATACTCTTAGGCGATATTGGAGAAAACGAGAGCATAGAATTGTGTGAATAAGTGGATGGGCCATATGAAGTGGGGTTAAGAGAGAGATGCGGCGCTAGAAAGTAGAACAAAAATAGAGACGAGTGATACCGCAACGATTGAACAGAAAATTGCTCAATTGGATTGCCTTCACTTTTCACTCTGATAAGTTATAACTCTGTGCTGATGATGGCACCTGCCACTGGCAATGTCGGCGAAACGTTTGGGAATGTACCAAGTCACTCTCTTGTCTTACTATAGTATCCCTAGTTGTTAGTAGATCATACTTGCCTCTTATTGTTACCGTAAGTATGCGCTTGACAAAAATGTTCATGCTTAGTATAAGGTAATCTCTGTAATTCAATAAAATGAATTTTATGGCTTATGTCACGTTGGAGCAGACCACATTGGCAGCCCTCTAAACTTCAAGTATCTTCATACCATCTCTCTGCAT